GGGGGGGGGGGGGGGGGGGGGGGGGGGGGGGGGGGGGTACACTTTGTATTAGCCTGGAGGACTCGGGGAAGATGCCTGGAGAGCTCACAGAATGGGTCTGGGGTCACCATCCTTGAGTCACTGACTGGTAAAATAATAGTAGCTTCTCACTGAAGAGTTCAACATAATTCACCTTGGGTCATACATCCACAAGTAAATGTTTTTACATAAAATAAAACGTAAGTGACTTGATTAGTTTGAACGTCCGATTGATAGGCAACAGTATAGAGTTTTGATTAGACATCTGGTTAAGTACTGTGAACTACGGAGCTGGGGTTTTCACTTACAGGCCGGGATTAGGTCTTCCCCCAATTCTAGCATCATTCTCAATGTCGCTTGGCAGATGTGGTCAGACCGAGTACTTGCTAGACTCCTCTCCCATCCCCTGTCCCTACTCTGTTCCTCTCTTCAATAAAGAGAATTGAATGGTGGTCATCCTCACAGCAGCACGCGCAGAGGAATTGCTGGGTTTCCAAGGTGACCACAAAGCATAGCTCAAATCCCATAGGGGCCAACATCCATTTGGAAGGAACGCTTTTATCTGTGTGCGCTTTCGCATTCCACGGTGTGGGAGGTAAGGTGCTCGGCTGAGGACCACATTCTCCCACGGATGCTCCCTTGTGTTCCAGGCTTCCTGTCGGGGGTGCTGTGGGCCATCGCCACCTGCTGCTGGTTCATAGCCAACCACTCACTGAGCGCCGTGATCAGCTTCCCGATCATCACTGCTGTAAGTGGCCAATCCCCTGGGTTGTTCTAAGAGTCAGCAGACACGCTGCCGTTCTCAGCGCTCTGCTTCTTGATTGCTATGGCGTGGTGAATGTTCATAGCCTCTTTTTTACCAGGTTTGCAAATGCCTCGCCTTTGTATGTCCCTGCAGTTTGTCCTTTGGTCATCTTACCTAATGTCATCTGGGATGCGTTATGGTTTTCTGTTCGTGACTCTCTCCATCTCGTTTGTATGACAGCATATGAATATAGTGTGAAAGCAAAAGTGCTTCAGACTCCTTGACACTGCGTGTCCCTGGGTTAAGGAAGTTTCCAGAAATAACGCTGCACCTAATCATGGGAACTGCTGTCTGCTCCAGTGGTTTTTTAGGGCTTAATTATCTGAAACCCAGGTAACAGCAAAAACCAAAATGCTTATTTTGACATAGTGTAAGTAATGCTACAGCCACCCCCATTTTGAAGATGAGGAAACTGAAGCACTAGTAAGAATTATAGCTGAGTCACAGAACCGATGGAAACCAGAAACTTCAGAGAACGGTCCCCCACTCCTGTGGGTTGCCAGCTCACCAGCATCTTGAGCAGTCTCCTATCCGTTGGGGTAGATAAACACAGGTGTTTTCCTTAAAGATTTTTATCGCTGTTATTTTTAATTATGGGTATTTGTGTGTGTTGTGTGTGGACGTGTGTCCCTGAGTGCAGAGCCCTTGGAGCTAGAGTCACAGACAGCTGGAGAGCCACGCGACGTGGGTGCTGGGAGCAGAACTGGGTCCTCAGCAATAGCAATGGGGCTCTTAGTGGTTGAGCCACCCTCCTTCTATGCTCTCCTGACCAGAGTCAGTTGTTTATAATCAGGATCAGTTGTTCTCCTGGTTCCTAAATAATCATCCCAAACGTTTCTTATAAATCATTTTAGTAGCGTGTATGTGCAAAGTTAAAAAGCCTTAAAAATTGGATAGTCTAAAACAGATCTCATAAAGGCTTGCTGTGAGCTGTGGGTTTGTATTTTGGTGTTTGTGTGGAAGACAGTGTCTTTGTAGCCCAGGCTGGCCTCAAGTGTGAAATCCTCCTGCATCAGCCTCCAAATGCTAGCAATCACAACTACGTGTCACAAAGCCTGGCTCACACAGTGTGCTTTGGATGGGTCTGTGCCCATCAGACAGCCTTCAAACACAACTCAATTCAAGTAATCTGAGTAATTTTTTTCATTTAGAGCAAAGCAAAATGAAGTACCTAACTGTGCAGGGCTCAATAATTTTTTTTATTAGATCCAAAGTCCTTGTAAAAGGAAAACAGAAAGGGGACAGGAAGACCCCATTTCCCTGCTTAGGACCCCCTCACTCTTTGGTCTCTTTCTACCCTGGCAAACCAAGCCAATTCATTCAGAAGGCTTGGTCTCTTTGCCATTATTATTGTCTGTATTTTACTGGGTGCCCGTGTGCCAAGCGTCATGCTCATCACTTTAGGTTTGTCTTCTCAACACAGGAGCAAACCCATCTTCTCTTTCATAGGCTGACTTAGACGCCACATGATTTATTTCACAAAAGGAAAACCCACAGTTCAAATGTGCTAAGTGATTGCACCCGCCACAAAATACTCTCTTTCTTTGGCCCAACTTTGCCTGGGGTGTACATTACATTAGCACAGCACATCGCCCCTAAAACCACATACGTCCTCACAGAAAGGCTCAGAACATGGCTAAAGGAATCATTAGAAAAATCATCAGGTGGGAAGCTAGAGAGGCCAGTGGCGCCCAGTGGTCCTGTCTTCTCGCCACTAGTGTGGTGTTATTGGCATGTCGCCCCCTCTTCTGTCTCCTCCCGCCCCGCATGTGTCCTCATTTGATTTGGATTCCCGGGATCAGCACTTTACATCACTGGCCTACTTCTCTGACCCCTTTGATGCTGACTTCGCAGAGGCCGATGAATGCAGAGTAAAGCATTTTTTATTGCTTCCCCGCACACGCAAACTGGAAGCAAACTTGGTTGGGTCAGCCCTGTAGACAGTGGGTTTGGTCCTGGGAGAGAGAACACTGTGGAATTGTTTCTTGAAGCTCTTCCAGAGGCCCTGCAGGGCTCGGAGAGGAGTCATTAAAATTCTGGTCTCGTGTGTCTTCTTCCCCAAGATCACAGCTAAGCCAATGCCACGGTTTTCCTTGCTGGTGAAAAACATTCACACCAGATATCCACAGCTTCCCATTTTCACATTTAGATCAGTGCCCTTTCTCTTGTTTCTTCTCCTTTCCTGTTTTCTTTATTTTTTTTTCATTCTTGTCCTTGCCTCCAGTAACTCCCATTGCTTGCTGACTTGGTTTTATTATATAGAGATAGCCACGCCCCAGCCAAACCCACCAGAAACCACTCTCCTGCCATGAGGAACTCCTGAAGGTCTCGTGCTCAGAGCAGCTGTAGGCACTCAGATCAGGGGATTACAAGAAATCCAGGATCTGGGGTCTCACTGCTCCCAACAGGAAGCACTGTACAGTGAGGTGCAGCCCCTTCCTTCCCCGTTTCAAATTTTACTCTATTTCTTAAGACAGTTTTGCTAAGTTAGCCAGGCTGGCTTTGAACTCAGTCTTTAGCCCTGGCAAGCCTTCAATTTTCAATCCTCCTGCCGCAGTTTCCCGAGTATCTGGGTCTACAGACTCACACCACTAGGCCTGGCTGAAATAGTTTATCATAAATATATCACACAAAATAAAAGCATCTTGTGCCATAAATATAATAGTATCATCAAAACAATAGCAGTCATGACCATAAAGAGGAAAACAACAACAAAATGAATCTGTCTTATTTAATGATGTTACCTTGATTTTTGGATCAGTGTAGAGCTAAGGTTTAGAATATAGTTCTTTTCCCCTGAACATATTTTACATTGCCTGTAGCTCACTGCATTTTTCTAGGTATAGTTATATCAAAATATCTAATAAAATTAAAGTTCTTTTATTTTAAGGGTCCTGGACTTATCGCTGCTCTATGGGGTATCTTCATTTTCAAGGAAATACAGGTAAGGATAAGGAAATGATCACTGTCCCCAGATGTCGGTCTTCTCTAGGAAACTGAGAACTTTGGATAGACTCTTAAATTCAAAGGGAAAATGGACCCCCTGAGAACATCGTTCTTCTGCTGAGAGGTAGCATGGGGCTTAGCAAAGTGCAGAGATAGTTGGGCATGCAGCAAAATAAAACAAAATTAGAGAGAAGAAAGGGAAAAGAAAAGGAGGGGGACTCAAAATCTCATTGTGAGAGCTGCAGTGTGTCACAGTGAGTCCCGCAGCAAACCCTTTGGTCCGTGTATCTCTACTTGCAACTGTTCATTGCCAAGGCTCATTGGTCTAGTTTCGAGGCTTCTGGTTTCTACAACACTATCGATACTGGGTCCAAAATCTTCCTCACTTCTAAGGGCCCATTGTAGCATCCTATGATTTCCCTACTAGATGATCTAAAACTTGGGAAGGGAGACTAGTTCTGTGGGTCACGTGCTTAACTTGAAGCATGAAGACCCAAGTTCAATCCCAGAATCTAGACAGAATAAACATCCTGGTGTGGTGGTGTACACTTCTCATCCCAGCACTGGAGAGAAGACGAGGGGAGCTCCTGGGACTCTGGGTACCCAGCCCAGTCTAGGCGATCAGGACCACTAAGGTGTCCTGTGCATCTAAAGTTCATGAGGCCTTATTCTTGTTTTCCTTTAGAGTGTTCAGATCTTGCCTTACAGTGCACTGAGTCTATCTGTACAGAGAGGTGGCCATCATTCAGAAGGAAGAGCCAAAACAAAGAGGGCGCTGGGAACCATTCTATGTGAAAAATGTTGAAGGGGGCTAAGATATTGACCAGGAGAAGCTGCTGGCGGATAAAAGATGGTTGTTTCTCGGTGTTTGAGGGTTTAATCTCAGGAGCAATTTATTGAAATCGATCTCTGCGTACCCCTAAAGACAGATCTTATGGAAATGAAATATTTCTGCCTACCACAGGGAGATATTTCTTCGTGGCTCAACAGATGACTGAGCTGCGCTGGGATGAGCCTGTTGTCCATGCCTCCCATCCGCAGGAGGACAAGGCCATCTTCTTCATCCTCACACCTCTCTTCCTGTGTCTTTGGATCCACCCTCCTATCCATCCTGTCTGTGTTCATCCCCTTTCTCCTTGGTCTGCTTACGTTCATCTTGGCCCCTCCGATCTGTTTCCTGTCCTCCAAACAGTTGTAAGATTTTCCAGCATGCAAATCTAATGTTCAGCACCGATAGCTTCCTGTTCCCTTAATACCTTTTCGTTACTAGGGAAAAGTAGGGCCCCAAAGCATAGTAAGGCCCATAGGCTCCCGAACTCTCGGCAGGCCAATTACCCGCATCCTTGCCTTCATGCTCTCCTCTGTCCCTGGCTTGTTGCATGCGCCCTGAAAGGGTCCTGGAAAGGGCTGCAGCTGTGCTTCCTAATACCGACGGCGTAATAACGCCAAACCCGCTCGACACAGAGTCCAGGAACACACGCACAGACTACATGGCGGTTGCTTGTTAAATGCCCTCACCTGTGATGTTCCTTGCCTTTCTCTCAGGGCAGGCACTGTGGGTGAATCAGTAGCGGAGGAGGGGGAGGGAGGTAAAGAGAGGGGGTAGGAGGGGAGGAGAGCATGTGTCAGGACGGCATACCGGGAACCAGAGCAAACGATTCGGTAAAAGTCCATGACAGTCTCTTTAAAATATACACGTTGTAAATATAAACCTGTTTTACGTTGCATTCAATGCATCCATTCTTTTCTTATTCCTCAGGGTCTCCGAAACTACTTACTATTGTTGCTGGCCTTCTGCATCATCTTGTCTGGGGCCCTGTGCACGGCTTTTTCCAAAATCTAACCTATTCACAACAGGACCAGCAGGTGGCAGCAGTGGCTAGAAGAGCCCCAGTCCCGAACAAGGGAATGCCGGGGACTGCTAAACCTGCTGAATAGCAATGGATCTCTGCCACTCTGGGAATAAATGGATAGATGACTGTTTATTCCACAAACATGAGAATGAAGAGAGACCGTGAAAAGTCCTCCCGATGAGCTGTTAACAAAGGCAGGACTTCTCTGGAGAGCTCAAAGACAAGCTGCGTTCTTGGATCGCCCTGTCTGAGGGTGTTGATTCCATCAGTGTCCACTTCGCGTTATAATCCAGATAACAGGATGGATTTTGTACAAAGGAAATTGCCACCCACATTTATAACATTAACGAAGAGGAGCAGAAACAAATACTTCGTCGGCTGAGGGAAGAAACAGACTCACCTTATGGAATTCAGGTTCAAAGATACCAGGGCCCTTTGCTAGAGAAAGTAAATGTCACAGTTGCTAACTGAATGTTTAAAAGGCCAGCTCATTATTTTTAGCCAAAAATTGCTTTGACTTTAACATTGTTCAGCTCTTATCGTTGCCTGCCCCTCTTAGCTCAAAATATTTTGATAGTTATTCCAGATAAAAATCCATCCCCAGAGAGCAAGTCACCAGCCCTCACAATACGTTTGTGTGGTGTAATTCACAAACACACGTATGGTGCGCATGGTTGCAGATTTGGAGAACCATTCTAGAGTTGACAGAAATAAAGGTTTTACTTCATCAGGTTCAATTTAAAGGGAACATGCTCGTTGGACTCCTATATTTTTGTTTCTAAAATGCCATTACTTAAAATCAATTTCATCAGAAGTGTTTTGCTTTGATCCTATCTTAAATGATTTCCAGGAGACAAAAGGGCACAACAAATGTATTGATTTGATTCTTTAAGAAAACAACCAGCCCTGCAAGCACACTGCTTGTCACCATGGCGTCTGTACCCTAAACATCGCGACCGCACTTGGCTGTGCCTCGTACCCATTCCCTCCTGATTCTGCAGTCCTTGGCTGTGCCATAGAAGCAGAATAAGAGCACCCTTCACCTGACGATGCTCCCTCTGAGTTGTGCGGCTCTGGACCTTAGCATGTCATGCCTCCCGTGATGGGCCATTAATGATATCATGTGTCTTAAATTCTCTTGTGTGGGGTAGTTCAATCTCTTAAGTACGTCCACTAATGTCTTGTTGTCTGACAAACATTCTAAATGTGTTTGCTAATTGTTATTACATGTTAATCAAGGGGAATCAAAGCTTATAGATAGGGAAAAAAATCTTGGAACTTATCAAAACTACTGTCCTTATTACTCTCATCCCTGTTTGCCTCTCCAAATCAGAAATGTCACTGAATCGCTAACCCAGACAATATTTGATAATAATGTCTTTTACCCATTTTAGTTTTTACTTGAAATGTCATTAAATTATGTTGATATGACTTTTGAATAAATGTCTATGACAGAAAATCTATTTTTCTCCTTTAGATATATTTTGGAATGGTATTGTGGGCAGCTTTTAATTATTCTTTGTGAGATTGCCAATGCATATGCAGGATTTTAAACAGGAATTAAGGAAATTGCAAATAAAAAAACTAGTAAAAGACAAAAAGAGAGCGGGCCCTTATCCCCTCACCAAGCAACGCCTGCGGTGTTAATAAAAGTATTATGAGGGAAAGAAGCTTTTCAGAAATGGTTACCAAACAATTTACTGTTCGTGGTTGTGTTATGGGGCAGATCTGAGTCCTAGGGCATTTCCTGGCATTTGCCAAGTTCTGTGTCTTTCTGAACAGGAACCTGTGGTTACTAGGAAGGGAAGCCCCTTAGGAGTGGACTGGTGAGCCGAGGGGAAAGCTCAAAGGTGCTGGCCAGAGCCACGGGACCCTTTCTAATTGTGAACATAGCTCTGGTTTCTTGCAGGGTTCACTAACTGTCCGCAGCCTAGTGGAGAAGGGCTTCCAATCCTCCCGGCCAGGCTTCTGTATGTTCATCCTGGTGTAGATTTGGTGGTGTTGATTGGTTGTTTTTTTGTCTCCACTCCCTGCCAGTTCCTCTGCAGGAGCAAACAGGTCATCTCCGCTTTGTTCGCTCACCCCAGAGGCAAGGTTTTAATTTTCCCTGTCGTGTACGGCAGGATTCTGCAGCTTGGAGCATTCCTAGTTTTGCTCTCTGTTGCACCTTAATGAAAATGACAACCAGGTTTGTACCAAGAGCTCCTGCCATCTTGTGTCCAGAGAGGGAACTACACAAAGTAAAAGGCACCCAAAAAGACTGGTCTCCAGTGGGAGATGGGACCTGCAGGAGAGAGAACGGGAATCCTGGCATAGCCATGCAGCATTTCCTTCGGGACTCCGATCTTTACTCCTCTTTGACCTCACTTAGTGTGGGTTTATGATCTCGTCACATCGTTTAGTACGAAGTCATTGAACTGAAGAAAGGAAAGCTGTACAACTGTGTTTAGCACAACACCCTCAAAGAACAATTGCTGCTGACCAAAGTGACCCACGTCTATATTTACATAAAACATTAAAAACTAACATGCCAGTCTCAAAGAGGTTGTTTAGGTCAGAAGAGAAGATCACAGATTGTGCTGGGGATTGAGAAGCTGTCTGTTTTATGCAATCATATGAACATACTTAGTGTTTGGTGTCATTTATGACCCTTTTTGTTTTAGGACACATTTTGTATGATTTTGTCTCTTATAAATTTTACCTTGATATGTAAATGATTTAAAAGAACTGCAGCTAGGGGACACAGGGCTTCTCTTGGGTCTAGACAGTAGAGTTGAGTCTTTGTGTTGGAAATAAGCAAATGTGGACAAAGGAACAAAAGCAGTCCTGAGTGTCTGAGTCAGCTGTGTGCACAGCTACTTTGTACACTCACTGACACCTAAGATGACAGAAGGCAAGTGTGAGCAGTCAGCCCGTTCACACTCTCACTCCGTGCTCCAGACACCTGAGATGACGGAAGGCAAGTGTGAGCAGCCAGCCCGTTCACACTCTCACTGCGTGCTCCAGCACATCTCTTTGTAAGCTAACGCACGGGCGAGTCTCTGTCAGAAGCACTAGAAACATCTCCTTTTTAACAACGGGGCACACTCAGAATGCACATTTCCCCCGTGTGTGTGTCTGTGTCCCTGCCGACCTTCCTGCTCCACCGGAGCTCACACTCCACCCAGACCCCACCTACCTTGCTTTCGAGTATCGCAAATTTCTGGATGCACTTGGGATCCACTGTTGTGTCACCAGCACTGTGTTGCTGATGAGAGAACAGCCCCATCTCCAGCATCACGGGCTTAGTGAAGGGTCTCCAGACCCATTCCAGCCCTCCCGAAGGACAGGAGCATCCTGGTTTCCCTAGACATTCCTTGCCATCTCCCCTCACTGATGTAAACAGTCGATAAGTCATTGAGAGATCAATAGAGTCTACAATCTCATGGTGAAATAGTCCCTTCACAATAGCTCACACCCGATTAATACAGCGTCTGAGATCTACGAGCAAGGGAAACTTTTAATCTTCTTTAGTCATCACAGAGCAAAAGTGGGCCAGTAAGATGACTGAAGAGGGCAAAGAAAGGGGCTTGCTGCCAAGCCTGGCAGCCCGCCTAGCCCGCCAAACCTGAGTGCAATGCTTCAGACTCAAGTGGCAGAAGGAGAGAACAAGCTCCCATGAGAGAGTGCATACAACCACAAGAATTGTGCAGCTGAGAACTGAACATAAATAAAATTCATGTCCACAAATAAAAGATAGCAAGCAGGTTCTGATGAGCCATGATGGAAAACTTACTAATAACAAGGAATAAGGCACCAACACATGCAATGAAGTATTTGATCTTAAAAACCATTAGGCAGAGCCGGGCGGAGGTGGCCCATGCCTTTAATCCCAGCTCTCAGGAGGCAGAAGCAGGCGGATCTCTTTGAGTTTGAGACCAGCCTGGTCTACAAGAGCTAGTTCCAGGACAGGTTCCAAAACCACAGAGAAACCCTGTCTCAAAAAAAAAAAAAATTAGGCAGAGAGAGGGGGGGAAAGCCCCAATTCTTTCCAGGCTGAACATCCAGAGGGGAAAAAAAGCCCTAATGCTTATCAGGCTGAGCGCTGTTACCTTGTGTGAACTACAAAAGTTACCAGCGAGCACTAGGGAGCTGCAGGGCTACACACTGGCTGCTCTTTCAGAGGTCCTGAGTTCAATTCCCAGCACCCACAGGGCAGCTCACAACTGCCCACAACTGCAGTCTCATGCGATTCGGTGCTCTCTTCTGGTGTGCAGACATACAAACAGACAAAGAACCCCTATTCTTAAAATATAGAAATAAATCGAACTCTAAAAAATAAGATTTGCAGGGTCTTGATGAAGTTCAAAGTGAAGGCAGGCAAGGCCAAGATTTTCTTCTCGGCTATTGTTGGCTACTCACTAAATGCTGTGCGTGTCACTCTCTTGCGGATAAAATGAGCATCTGCTGAAAAGATGTCCTAACCGTCCAAAAGACAGCGTGACTCTCAGCCTGATGTAGCCTGATGCCTTGCCGCTTGCAGTCACTGCCAAAAATGGAGCGACTTATGAAACTCGACCATCTAATATGAGTCATTCAACTTTCATGACTGTGGAAAAATCAATCAAACGGTTAAAGTGAGTTATTCTCCCCCATATGAGGTACCTTTAATTTTTAATGACTATTAATCATGTAGTCAACCAGACAATGCAGTTTCACATTTGACCACCAGAGGACGGTGTAGGCCTGGTAATTTGGGACCCTCTCACAAACTGAGCATCCTCCGCCGGCCGCCTGGCTCCTGCACCTCCCCTCCTTCACAAACCTTCCCTCTAAAGAACTGCGCCTGTACCAAGAGCACGCGGATATTTAAGTCACTATTGCATCATTTATATCCTCGCGGTGTCTCGAGCTCTCCATGTGCCTTCTGTCCCTCCGTGACTGATTTCATCATCCTCTTGTTGGGATTTGGACTTCATCATTTAGTGTTCCAAAAGTTGAAGACATCACCAATTTGTTTGAGAAGTATTTAAGGGCAGAGTGTGCCCTTGTCCTAGAGAATCCAGGACGCGAGAATCTCCGCAACGGAGGCCACCAGCACCAGGGGCACAGCTAAGCCACACTGTTGGCTGACCTCGTGACACAGCGTCCTTTCTGACTCATCGGGCTGCGCGGCCTCAGTTTTCTCAAAGATGCGCGAGTAATTCTTTAGCTTAATTAGACGCCTCGGGTCACGGAGACCTGGAACGATTTGCCCTGTTATTTTTGAAGGCCTTTTTCCAATAAGAGGCTGAAATGTTTTCCCAGTGGGCTCATTAAGTCAAGCACTTGCCGTAACTACACGTCCAGCGAACGTGGAATCTTACAGACAGCTCTTCCCTGGCAGGCTGGGTTGAGAAGGTATGTTGGCCCTCCCTTTCTCCTGGGCATGGAATTATACTGGGCAAAGGTGATGTTCGGTCATGAGACTGTGTTTATTTCAGCTCTGAGACTCCTAGTGGAAAATCACAACACAAAGTCTACTGGAGACAGGAAGCTGGACATGTCTGACATCTCAGATCAAAAGCCAAGACGCTTTGCAGATTTGCCTCCTTCACAGGCTTAGAACCCTGCCCCACATTTAGGTGTTTCCGAAACTTAAAGTAATATTCTGTATATACCCTCCTGGCAATAAATCTGTTCACCTCAACATAAGACGGGAACGTATTTCCTAACTATGAGGTGAGGGAACATAAAATCGGTCTCACACTATTCTGACAGGTCTATGTGGCTCATGGGGGAAGATGGAAAACACGGCCAAGTATCATGTTGGACACTTGCATACCAGAAGGACTTACCGCAGGCGGCAGACAACACATGCCACGCTAGTAGTTCTAAATACATCTCTTTTCAATGGCTGTGGCAAAAATTGTAGATGTCCAATCACCTAGGAGGAACTTTCATACAGAATGAGATGGATGGTTCTCCCTGGAAAAAAAAGACTTCAAAGCCAAGGGTGAAAATGTAATTTTCTCAGGTTGTGTGCAGTCTTCCCTAACTCTGTTCCTTCAAGCAAACTTTCTTTTTTTTTAATTTAAATAACATTTTTTTCATTTATTTTACATACCAGTTTTCTCTCCCTCTTTTCCTCCAGTCCCCTCCCCTTTCCAATCTCCCCCCCACACACACACACACCCATTCCTCTTCCATCTCCATTCAGAAAGAGACAGGCTTCCCATGGGCTTGCACATCAAGTTGGGGCGCATGGAAGGCAGGTAATCCAGCTTGCAGAACAGGCTACCAAAAGCCAGCTAAGCACCAGGGAGAGGTCCTGCTACACAACTGTTACACAGGTGCAGAGGGCATAGGTCAGTCCCACTCTGCCTCCCTGACTGTTTGTCCAGGGTCCATGGGCTCCTGTGAGCTCAGGTCAGCTGTCTCTGTGGTTTTCCTGCCCCTTCCCATCCCCCCACCCCTCCCCACCCTCCACCCACCCTCACCCCAC